ATATGTAATTATTAATTTTTGATCAGTGGTATTGATTTAGCTTTCGAGGACAAATCCGGAGTGCCGATGTGGAAAATCAAGTTGTCATTTTGTCAAACCTCAGCCTCTTCTGTGCTGTCCATTTGACCCCTGTCCAACATTTTCCTTTTTTCTCATACATTATAAAAATTCAGCAACAGGTCCATGTTTAAATCATAAACAAAATTACTCAAAGAAAGAATTCCCTGGTGCTCAGTCCACAATCTGAGACACTCAGCTTCTTTTCTCAGACAAAAATCTTACTTATAAAAGCCTGAGAGCACTTCCAGTAGAAAATGTCTGTTTACATAGAACTAGTCCAACATCAAGAATTCTCCACAACCTGCTGTCACTGCACCAAAGCTGAGCCCCAGGTTTGCGTTGCTCTCTCTTGAGGGGTTTTCGTGGCGCACATCCCTTGTATGACAGTAGGCTACATAAATGCCTGTTTGCTCCCAACAGGAAAAAAAGAAAAAAAACTGCGTGTGCCAAGAATGTAGAGTGAAACAGCCAGATATATATGCACACACACACACATACATACATTATATATATATATATATAGAGAGAGAGAGAGAGAGAGAGAGAGAGAGAGAGAGAGAGAGAGAGAGAGAGAGAGACCACTATGGGAAATACTTCTATCTTGCATTTCTCTAATACAATTATTTTCATGACAAATTACTATTATAAAAATTAAATGTAAAAGTTTAACTGAAAAATTTAGATAAATTTCAGAATGTCTTAGGAATGTTTTTTCTTTAATGACTGCAAAGCTTAAGCTGGTGATCTGGCAACTTCACAAGTAAAACCTGATGATCCATGTTATCCAGCAAGCTTTGAGAATGTTCCAAAAGCACATCTTGTGTTGTGTAATTCAATGGCACAAGAACATCAGATATCTATATCCCAACTCAAGTCCTCCCAGAATGTTTTAGATTGTCTCATTAATTAACACACTAAAAAAAGTTTAATCAGGAACCAGGTGGTCCCTAGTACTGGAGTTGAGAAATACTTATTTAGAGAAGAATCTAAAGCAAACTGCTAAATTTGAGGGTCTCTCTAGAAGACAAAATGTAGGTCAAACACACACACACACACACACACACATTGAGATTTATAGGGGGAAGGGGGGTGAGGAGCTGGAAGGTGATCAAAAGCATACTCACCCATCATAAAATAACGTTGCAAAGCATATATGAATGTAAGAGATTTTTATATATCAGTTTATCACTAGTTTAATCTGCACTGTCTGATAATTGTACCCAACTGATTAAGGTCACCATAAAATCAAAACTGACAATTCTCTCTCTCTCTCTCTCTCTCTCTCTCTCTCTCTCAAACACAAATTAAGATATTTTTATTGTAACCTGAGAGATTTATGTCCCTCATTTGAAAGTCATGGTAACCACTACCAAAATCCAAAAAAGATCATAAAGGTGTCATCAAATGAATCAATATTGATCAAGTGGTTTAATCTAGGTTTTGTGAAGAGATTTGATTGCTTTATATGATGGCCAGATTTAAATTAGGCTTTTATTTGCATCTAAGCAGTGATCGACACACATGCACATCACATATGGTAAACACAGAAGCTCAAATGTGAGGGGATTCATATGGATTTGTTTTACGATGACTTCATGACCTTTTTGAATCTTCTAAATTTCGGTTACCTGGACTTTTTTCTGTACTTTCTGTACTGGAAGCTTCTGTCACCAAGAAAAATTAATTGTGTAAACACACTTGGCAGTAAAGCTCTGTCTGATTCTGACTTTTAATGGAGTTTTTTTTTTTAAACATTGTAATTAAGTCTTATGGGTTTGGAACAACATAAGGGTGAGTAAATGATGACAGAATTTCCATTTTACATTAATAATAGTAGTTTATTTCATCAGTATGGCATTAGGACTTATTTCATGTCACTTCTCAGCTTCAAACTGTTATGGATAGTGGTTTTAAGCAATTAATATAATAGGCATCTGTGTTTTTCCCCCCAATACATAGAATGGGCACCAGGACTTAAAGCATGTTTATTACACATTTTGGGAGACACAACAAATGAATACAGAAAAAAATATGTATGAATATTCCTATTAAATATTAGATATTATTATGAAAATCTTGTTAATTATTACTCCCATTATTGCACTTATTTGTCCATTCTATGTTGCCCCAAAAACACATTAATATACAAATTAGATACAGTTTATAGATACATTGTATATAATGGAAAAACTTGTTTATGGCCATTTTACACACATTTTGCATAAATAATTATTATTTTTTTTTTAAATATCTTTCATAACATAGTTGAGAATCGCTTTATATAATGTTTGGTATAAAAAAATTAAAATTGATTTGTGATTAAAACAAAAATCCCACTGTTTTTGCCTTTTCATATCTATTCATGTCTTTTGATTTCTTAATATGTAATATGTGAAATAGTTTGATATATGACATATTACACGTCATATGCAGCATTCAATCTGAATTCAATATAATTCTTGGCACCTTGGGTGGCTTCATGGACACTGAATGGGTATATCAACAGAGTTATGTGATAATTTTGTAACAAATAATGTATCGTGAATATAAATAAAGATTCCAAAAGGGTTATAGATTCAATATAATTGTGTTCTCTAAAGAACCTTTATTTTTTTTTCCTTTAGTGTGGGGAGCATTAAATAATAATAATAATAATAATAATAATAATAATAACAATAATAATTTTTAATCAACTACAAATAAACTTTTGGTTCCATGGACGTTAAAGTTTCTTCATGGAACCGTAGATGCCAAACTTTATTTTTCAGAGTTTTGTAAATAACTTTACATTATTATATTATCTGTCTCTTGCACACACAAAAATGTTATACACCTAGATACATTACATATCAAATTATTTGTACTATCCTTTTTACCTTTTTTCGTTTCTTTCTTTTTTTTCAAATCTATTTATTTTATATTCAGCTGAGGAAAAAGACATATTCAACAAGCACAATGAAATCTGGGTTAACAACAAATCTGCCCTCTATTTGTCCTTCAGATAGGAAATGTAAGCGCCTCATTGGTTTCTGTCGGTATAGCAGTTCACTGGTCACCGATCTGGGTCTAGCGGTTCTTTCTCAAGTTCACCTGCATAGGTGGCCAAGGTTCGAGGGCAATTTGGCAGTTGGACGCGCTCCTGATGCGCTATGGTGACTGTGCGGACACTTGAGATCCCACTCACGTTCAGAGCGGAGTATTTCATCGGTGAGTCATATAATGCTAGTGGCGTGAAATTGTAGTCGTTTTGCAAAAGAAGAAATAGATAAATCTGTACACTCTAAACAGTGGGAAATATAACGCATAATTAAAGCATTACCTACCCGATTACGGAACATCTACGCTGGCTATATATTGGTGAAAGAAATCAAAACGAACAAATGCAAAAAACATATGAAGCTGTAGCAGTGAGTTCTCAATGAATCTCACCATAACGAATGGCTAAAGGCACGAACCAAATTCCAAACGCTTTCACATCTTAATTGCACAACAGGCGAACCACGTTTCTATGGCAAGCCGTTTTCAAATTAATTTCATAAACTCAAATAGTATCTTTTTTTTACGTTTCTATATTGTCATCATATATTCAATCTTACAAAATAACTGAACTAAAAATAAACTTTCTAACTAGTTACATAAAATCAATTGTAGCTGTTTAGATAAATGTTAACTACTGGTGACAGATACAGGTAGGCTAATATTATCCAATTCTAAATAAGCTTATATAACTGAAATGGACAACTACTGTATTAACTACTGTGAGATACTAGTACCAGAGTGTTCAGTCTTGCTCCTGGAGGGTTACTGTCCTGCAGGAGCAGGGATTGGAGTTTAGCTGTGGGACTGAAGGATTTCACACCCCTGTAGTAGCAAAACATTAATAGTTAACAGTAAACCTGAAAAAGGTGGTAGCAACAACTGAAATACACTATTATGTGAATAGTTGATCAAATATAATGAATCGAAAAAAAATAATTTATGAAATATTTATAAATTAATGGAAAAACTGCATTTAAATTGTTGCCACCAGCAATGGAATAGTTGCTGTTCAGCAATGGGATAAGTACTAGTATATAGAGCGAATAAGTACTAAAGACTAATTGAATAGACAGCCATATAGTGACTGCTGTAATACGGAATACAAATACTAGTTTCTGTTGAATAGTTACTAGTTAAATTGAAAAAGGCACTAGTTAATATTGTAGTAATGATTAGTCATTATACATTCTGACAAAAATGTATAATATTTAATTTATAGGAATAAATGTTAAATAGGCTTGCCATAGATTTCCATAAACTTCCAGTGCGATTAAGTGGTGTAAGACATTTGCTTGAGTGTAGCCTATCTGACAGCAGAAAGAAGAGACATATATAAACTGTACACCATATGCAGGCAGCACTCAAAAGATGCCATGCTTAAAATCAACTGTGAGCCCTTGATATCATATCTCAACTTTTATTGTTCATTTTCACTCATAGCGCAGAAGTATTTGCTCTCTGTTGCCTATTTGGGAACGAAAGAACTGAATTCATGAAAGGTGATGCAGTACTTTGCATATAGACTTAATGAGAAAACAAGTTCTTTTATCATAAATGCTAACAGAAAGCCCACTGAATTTAATTTAAACAAGGATATAATAAGGTTCTGAGTCCCCGATTTCAAATTCAAATTAATTTAAAAAAAGCTTAAAATTGGACATATGATTTGAGTTGGTATTGCGTCTACATTAACAGGTGGAAAGAAAGCAGCTATTTTCAGTGGTTACCGACTGCCAGTGAAGCGCAACACGTTAGTGGAAAAGGACATCCCAATCCATGTCAGTATATTAAAAATAATAATCAATGATGTCCACTCTTAATTCTCATTCCTGGAGTTAAACACAGGGCACTTACCAGTCACCCTTTGCTCCCTTGTTGATCAGTGCCAAAGCTGGGACACCCGGTGCATCCAATAATGGCAATCAAATTCCGTGATCACAATCCACATCTCGACATATATACCATAATATCACGTACAAAATGAGCAGAATCGCAAAAATAAACAGTGCAACCAGTATTGCTTTGGTGACTGGGGATATTAAAGACTGCATGATACCGGCGAGCTGGAGAAAGCAGACACCGTAAGCGCAGTGAAGATGAATACACGTTCAGGCGCCAGCAGCGTCCGATCCTGTCAGTATCTGCATTGGTGCGTGCCGAGTGCGAACCTACAGTAAAACGCGTGGGCTCTTCAAAAACATGACACGCGAAAGAGCGCTGCCTCATCCATTGGTGATCTCTCCATTTGCGCAAGGGGGCACGATACTCTGAGGTCCCTTCAGGATAGCCATGATCCAATACTGCTTGCTCAAAAGATTAAAAAATAAAAAGTTAAATGATAAGGATGTTAATGTTAAAGATTTTCAAAAAAAGGTAAGAAAAAGGAAAGGAAAACAATCAAATAGCTCTATATATTTAGGTTGCCTTACAAAGTGCTTTCAAAAAAAGCAAATCTTAGGTTTTAAAAGGAGTATAGGTGCTCTTGGTATTAGAGTTTTTTTCTTACAAATAAGGTGTCTTTGAATTATATTGTTACCAGATCCGTTAACAAAGATGACAATCATGTGTTTTATATCAAATTTAATCCCAAATGCGCTTGTGAAGTCATATCCGATAATGGTCGGAGTCATACCAGAAATATTTATCATGGTTAAATTAATCCTGTACAGATGTGTGTATACCGTTCTTTTGTCGCAACGCGTTCTTTTAACACTAGATGGAGTAAGAGTCTATTTGCTGTCTGCTAGGGGGCGCTATTTTCATGCCACCACTAATGCCAAAAATGTATTAAAATTAGAAGCGCGTGTTCAGTGAATTTTGAGCAGGACAAAAAAACTATCTTCAACCTTAATCTTAAAACAAAATGGCACTGTTAGACTATTGCAGATGCACATGTTGTTTGTCTAAAATGCTGTGGCAGAAATCACATAGGATACTGAATTTGTTACAACGACTTTCACCTTCAGGCTTCAGCAGATCATTTGTTTTACACTAAAGATTCTGTCGAAAATTCTCACCACCATCATTTCCCCCGTGTAACAAATACCAAAGCCTATTGTCCGTTAATTTGCTGTGCATATATAAAGACTGTTCTAATAATTGATACACTAAGTTAGCCGACACCAAATCCTGTTCTACTACGAACTCAAAAAAGCGCAGGTAGGGCGTGGCGAGGCGCGTCTTTACCCCGCACAGTGTTTCGAATCATCACTCTAATTAGACTGTAGGCTACAGACAGATGAACTGTTGAATAGCATTGGGTTACGCTTGGATCAACTCAGAGGGGTGGGCCACATAAGTTAATGCTCAACTTCACCTTCGAGATACTTGTTGATTTCAAGGCTTGGAAATCTTGTAGGACTATCTTTGCGAATTATTGATATTGCACGAGCTTTGTTTTAATCTTACATATTTCCACAGCAAGATGACTTCACACACGTGGATTTTACTCCTTCTGGCAAGTCTTGTGGCAACAAGAGCGCAAGGTATGGTTTCCTACCCAAACTGTTGACATTTTGTTTTGGTAACAGCGCTTGTAACAGTTGTAGCACTGGGGAAGTAGCATGCCCAAAATAACCAAACAGGAACGCAGTCGCTTTTTGCCACTGCTAACCGTGCTCTGAATGAACTATATAAACGCTCGTTTGAATTGCTCTTAAATAGCTTATAAGCTGGAGTTGAAGCGAGTTAGAAGTATTTGTCTACTATCCCAGTTACTTACCCTTTTGTGTTACGGAAAAAAGTGCGTTGAGTGGTTTTGAATGACCAAAAATCTTGGTACATTGGTTTGGCTCTTGGAATTGAAATCTTTCCACATACAAGCTGCGTGACTCACCAACCCATGGGAAGAATAGCAAGAGAATTGTAGCACCGACATGTTTGTTTCTGTAGCGTGGTATCGGTAACATCACGTACGGGTTTTAAAAGCATGACCAAAAGTTATGACAAATTAGTGATCTTTCCATGTATTCCCAGCTCCATTTGCCTTTATTCTCAACTAAATTTAGCTGAAAATACAGAGTTTACATTTTAAGATTCATATTATGGATGTGATAGTTCCTTTTTTCTTCTTCTTTCTTCAATTATACTTATAAAACAAACCACTAGTACTTTTGTTCAAACTTCAAATATTGTAAATCTTCCATTAACAATGCATTATGCTAGCAGATGCATGGGTGGCTTGTTATAATACTGCTCCATATTTAATGTTTATTTTTTGGCAGGCATATGAGTGAGTGACAAATCATTTTGCCAAGTGCTAACACAACATTGTTAATGAATCCATGAAAACAACTCTCATTAATTGGTGTCTCTGCTAGTTTGAGAAGCAACTCAAATTTCCAGTTAGACCCTGAAGGTCACGGAGGAAAGAAAAAAAAAAACTTTTTTCAACAACATCAGATTTTGCTCTGCATTATCAGCTGTCAAGTTGCCTTGAACGGTGTACTAAATATACTTGATCCCATGATGTTGTCCCATACTTCCTGTGTTCCTGCATTGAGTCTCAAAGTAAACCACTGTATACTCTCCTTTCTACTGATTAGTTTCTGCTAGCTGGCGTAGCTCCGAGATAAGCACGACAGGCATAATGTACAGGACAGAACAGATTCTGTCACAAGCAAAATCAGACACTCCCAAATTTGAATGTTTTACATTTAATACTTGCATCACTCAAGTTTGCCTGAATCTTCACTTCCTAAATGTCTTAATGTGATTCTTTCCAAATATGTTTTTTTTAATGCAACGTAAACCGATTACATAAATGTGTACCTAGATTAGATAAAAGGATCGCTGTGGTTGTGACTCAACCAACAGTCATCATCATTTGTTTTGCCTAGACCATGAAGAAAACAGTCCATTGCCATGGCAACATAGGCCACAAGATGTGGCCTCTGCCGGGGTGTTTCATGTGGCAGACGCAGTCGCACGCTTGCCATCACGTGTAGTGTAAATCAGAGAACTTTTATTTCATATTTTTATGGTAAAAAATATTTTTGTTTAGTTTTGCTGTATGTGACCTCAAGGGTTGGGAGGGTTTGGTCACAATGTGAATCCACACACAATAGATGTATACAGTGTGTAGCTGGGTGGTGTTTTCATGTGAAAGCAAACTATATCAAATTCCAATCATTTAGCCTAGTCGAGGCTTTTACCCTCTAGAAACTAGACAGGTTTATTTTGAGTTGGTGACAGATGTTTTTAGTTTTTTTTTTTGACTCTTCCTATTTGGGAGTCATGCAGGAATAACTTTGCAAAAGGAAACGCACTAGATGCTGTCTTGTTACTAACTTAGAACACTTTAAAATTAGCTGCAATGCCAATAGCCTTTATATTTGGAAATTATTTCAAGAAAATGATTATTTTCAGTCTCATTCGAGTCGCTTCACTTGGGTTCGATTTGCATCCTTTATTTGGGTTTTGTACTGTGGCATGGAGCCTCATGTAAATTGCTTAATTCGGCTCAAATCAGAAGTTTTGGTTGGGATTAAACTGGCCATAAAACTACTAGAGAGAGACAAAATATTAAAGTAACTGTTTGCTTGCAGATTTGAACCTCGCTGATGCTTTTGATGATGATGGCAAGCGTAAGTAAAGATTATTTAGATCTATTTACTGTGTATGGACCTCCTTGTGTTGATGGTCTACTTTTTGATATTTAATTTTTAGTATTTAAATATAAATAATGATTATATTTTTATATTGTTTTCAAAACAATTAACAATATTATTATGATCCTAAGCCCCTGCGAAGCCAACGGTGAAACCAGCCCCACCGAAAAACCCAGATTCAGGTAACCTTTACCATTATGCTCAGACATATTTTAGTTGCTATATTTAATAACTGTATTGATTGAGTTCGACACATGGAAGTATATGCAGAGACTTATTTAACTTGGTTTTGCCTTACTTTTGTAGGATTTGATCTTTCAGATGTCTTTGATTTGGGTAAGACCGTTTGGGCTCAGAAATATTCACAAAAAGAGTTGAAATGAATTGTGGTCATGTTAGTCTTTACTAAATCACGCTGTTGTGGTTTTCTTTATTCGGGCTTGCTGAATATATGACGATCAGTACATTGATTAAACTCATTGTTTATTCATGTCCTCATTTGTTTGTATTTTAATCTGAAAAGTGACAACATGATGGACATTTTGTGGCACTGCATGGCAAAATTAACACCACCTTTGGAGATTGTAATTGTTTTTTTAATGTAATTTTTTAATTACTCAAAATAAAAAAATTATGTAATCATGTTTTGTGGAAAAAAAATGGACCAATCAAATTATGTGGCTCCATGCAGTTCATTAAATTCCTTTGTTATGCCAATTCAGATTGCACCATTCCTTGGTTTTCAGTTTAATAACTAAACTTGAATTACTTTAAACTAAAAAAAATTAGTTTCTTTATGACCATTGTTTGTTGTATACAGACCCGAAAACACCTGCAGTGGTTCCCCCCAAATCAGAAGATGGTAAGAGAACATTATAATGAGGTGTTTATGTAATTATGTATAAAGTTTGTGAGTTACACTTTTATTTTAAGGTGTCCTTGTTGTAATCACATATTAAAGTAATATTAATTAGCAACATGGGTTAGTGTTAGGGTTTAGGGTTCATTGCAAGTAAGTACATGTAACAAGAAGGACACTAAAATAAAGTGCTACCAGTTTATATAGTAATGTTTAAAGGGGTCATATGATGCTATTTTAAAGATCATTATTTGGTGTAACAGAATATGTTGACATGCTTTAATGTTCTAAAAACACATTATTTTTCAAATACTGTACATTATTGTAGTTCCTCTATGCCCCGCCTCTCTCAAGCACAGTCTGCTCTGATTGGCCAGCTGACCCAGTGCATTGTGATTGGCCGAACACCACAAGCACGCGTCGGAAATGTAACGCCCCTTTCCATAATTGCGAGCTTCAGTTTTCAACATAAATGTAAATACACTAAATATTGTCCTTTGTTCCCGTTTCAGGCTTGAACTGATGGTAAAACTGAGTCAGACACATTGATGATGCTCGTATGTATTTGCAGTACACAAGCCGCGATTAAGAAAGCTGACTCCACTGTGATGTGACACTCTCTCTCTCATGCACACACATATGCACACAACGCGATACTCTACACGGCGCAAAACTCCGCATTTGAACAGTCAATAGCAAATACTTAAACTATTAAGAAAATATACTTACAGTAGCTGATTCAGAATAATGTCTGCCTGACATGGCTGCATCAACACTACTGCGGTTCCTGAAACCACGCCTTCTTTCTTTGCATGAACATTTGGGCGGCATTACGCAAATATTTCCACATCGTGATGTACAGATGTGGGGGCATGTTTTAGGCGTATTAGCCCGGTCTAGATCAGCCTTTTCTTTTAGATATAATAAATCCTTTCGTGGGAGACTGAGCTTCGTAACTCTGCAGAGCTTATACATGCACAAATAGCTACATAACACACTAAAGAAAAGGAAAAATAGAAATCGTATCATATGTCCCCTTTAAGTAATCCAAAGTGCATTTATTGGGAGGTTTTTATTGAGCTCATTTAAGGTCATTTATTGATGCTTTTTGTCTTGTTTGTAAATGAGTGCTTTAATTAAAAATTATTGTACTGCATTCTTTTTTTTTAATTTGCAGATAAAAAGGAACCATCTGGAGGTAAAATATACAAATGCATGCACTTCATTTTAGGTCAATTGTTTCTACTTCAAGTTAGGGCTGGAGGATATGGCCAAAATTTATATCACGATATATTTCTTAATTTCGGTCGATACGATATAATTCTGATATCGATGTGAACACTATTAAAAAAGCCTCATAAAAACGGCCAAGAACGGCCACAACAGATGTCTGTACCTACAAACTTATGAAAAATTAATTAGCCAACTCTATGAAACCTACTCCTATAAAACTATATAATATTTTAGGAAAAAAATGGTGCAAATAAACAAATGTTCACCTTTTATTGGTATTCAACCTTCATACAAACAAGAAATGTGAAATTACTGTCAAATAAATCTCAGACTCTCCTTATTAATATATTTTTACTTCAAACTATAGGCTAACATACCAGTCAAAAGTTTTTGAACAGTAAGATTTTTAATGTTTTTTAAAGAATTCTCTTCTGCTCACCAAGCCTGCATTTATTTGATCCAAAATACAGCAAAAACAGTAACCTTTTGAAATATTTTCACTATTTAAAATAACTTTTCTATTTGAAAATATAATTTATTCCTGTGATTTCAAAGCAGAGCTTTAGCATCATTACTCCAGTCACCTGATCCTTCAGAAATCATTCTAATATTCTGATTTGGTGCTCAAAAAACATTTATTATTATGTTGAAAACAGCGGAGTAGATCTTTTTCAGGTTTCTTTGATGAACAGAAAGTTAAGAAGAACAGCATTTATCTGAAATAGAAATCTTTTGTAACATTATAAATGTCTTTATCATCACTTTTGATCAATTTAAAACATCCTTGCTAAATGAAAGTAATAATTTCTATAATATACATTTTAAAAAGAGCTTTTGAATGGTCTAGTGTATAATGTTACAAAAGATTTTATTTCAGATAAATGCTGATCTTTGGATCTATTCATCAAAGAATCCTGAAAAATTTTACTCAACTGTTTTAAATATTGATAATCAGCATATTAGAATGATTGCTGAAGGATCATGTGACTCTGAAGACTGGATTAATGATTCTGAAAATGTAGCTTTGATCACATTAATAAATTACATTTTAAAATATATTCAAATAGAAAGCAGTAATTTTAAATAGTAAAAATATTTCAAAATGCCATCTAAACTTTTCTGAAGACAGTCGGTTCCCTTCAGAGATACATTCATATAAAACACCCGCGTATGGGAAACACTGGTAATGTATATCGGAAATGTTTAAAAATCATATCACCGTTATTGAAAAAAATTATATTGCGATACATATTGATATTGAATTATTGTCCAGCCCTACTTCAAGTCAAGTGTTACTTTAATTTTGTACAGTAATCGACATACCATTGCAAAAAAATTAACATGATGTTTTGATTCTCAGGTGACTTCGATCTGTCTGATGCATTTGGTCCAGGTAAAAATGAGTTTTGCTTTTTTAACTTTTGGGGTGTGTAGCTTCCATTTTTTTTCTTTCTTTCTATCCAACCATCGATAAATTTCCCCCTCAATTTTTATGGCCTTAGCACTGCGATGCAAGGACCCTCTTGGAATTGCTCAGATTATTATTAATAGTAGTAGAAGGGCCCGAGCACCAATGGTGCGAGGACCCTCTTGGAATTGCTCAGTTTCTTCTCCAAAGTGAATCACATTTTTGAGGGCGTAAACATGGTCGAAAACTCACAAAACTTCAGAACAGGTGAAAATGTACACCTGATATGGGTTTCAGAATTGGGCGTGGCAAAATGACTCGATAGCGCCACCTATAAAATTAACGAAGCGCCCCTCCTGCTACATTTCACGTATGTGTATGAAATTCAGTACATGCATGTAATGTCCCAATACCTACAAAAAGTATCTTGGGCTGCGTTCCAGTTCACTTTTAGACATGCACTTGTGAGCATCCCAAAGCACTTACCCTCGGGGGAATCCCCACCACCATTTTGAAGTGAGTTCCACTTCGTCAAGTGGACAGGGGAAGTTTACATGGACATACCCTCGACCCCTCAATTTTGAAGGGGGAGCGAGTCTGCTTCATATGCACACTTCAGGCCGCTCTGTAGACCACAATGCAACACGACTATGACGTCATCGCAGATTGCGTTTAATTTATCCCCACCCCAAACAACTCTATAATAAATATATATATATATATATATATATATATATTTGTTTACGTAGACAGACAGACGGATTTTTTTTTAAATATCTTCTTTTATGTTCTACAGAAGAACAACAATCATACAGGAGGACAAGAACAAAAGTGGAAAGACATGATGGTCAGTAAATTATTTGCATTTCAGTGTTAATTATCCCATTATATATATATATATATATATATATATATTTTTTTTTTTTACATTTATAACAGCCCAAGCATACATATAGAATGCTGCACCAAACAAATTAATAAGGGGAAACATGTAAACAAACCAATGCCATAGTGGATTCTAAGTGATCAAGGGGTTAGGACGTTCCAATTCAGCCCATTCCAAGGGTTTCGCCAGTAGTGGGCACTCATGCAACGTAATCAATGACGTACATCTGAGTAAACGTGATGGAGGGAAGTTATAGAGAGTGTGGGGCATAACAAAAAGTTAACTGTAATGCAGCCTTGGAGTGAAGTCCTAAACACAACAGGAAGTCAGTCATTTTGAATTTCCTCTATGATTTTTTGTGCAGTTTTTGCCATTTTCAGGTCTCATACTTTAACAAACTCCTCCTACAGTTTTAATCGGATCATCTTCAGATTTGGTGACTGTAATCATAAGGCTTTAGCAATGCTAAATTGCGAAGATCTTGAGTTGTCGTTGAAAGGCGTGTCCCTGGCAGCCTGACAAAGTTCGATGTTTTGCCATGAAATAAGAAGTTGCTGTAACTCAGGCAAACAATGTCCAATCTTCCCCAAACTTCACACGTTTGATAGGAGTTCTGTCCTGAACACATGTCCATGCCCATATTCAGTTAGTTATAGCGCCACCTGCTGGTAACAGGAAGTTGCATGTTTAACACCGTTGGACTCCTATCAACATGTTAAAAAGCATCAGCAAGTGTTAAATAGGTTAGCAACATGCTAGAAACAAGCTAAAACAACATGCTAGAAAGACTTGGCTAAGTGCTAAAGCATGCTATTAATGCCATGAAACAGGAAGTTGTTGTAACTCATGCATACAATGTCCAATCAGCCCCAAACTTAACATGTTTGATAAGAGTCCTGCTTAAACACATCTACATGGCAATATTCAATTACAGTTATAGTTCCACCTGCTGGTTGCAGGAAGTGACATGTTTTACACTGCAATGTACTCTCAGTAACATAATACAATATGCCAGCAACTGTAAAACATGCTAGCAACATAATAGAAACATGTTAAACCATGCTAGCACAATTTAGCTAACTGTTAAAACATGCTGCTAATGGCATGAAACAAAGGTGTTTTATTGTCCAATCTGCCCCAAATTCAACAAGTTTGAGGTCTGTTGGCAACAGGAAATGGCATGGTTTACACCAGAGTTCCTCAATAGACGGCTCGCGGGCCACATCCGGCCTGTGAGAGGAAAAAGTTTGGCGCTAATTTCAAATAATGTGGCATGAAAATTCAAACGCTGCATCAGAGAGCTACATTAACTTGCATCATGTCTACACCGGACGCGAGCGGCGCGGCGCGATGCAATAGAACTCATTATAATCAGTGATGCTGTCTTGGATGCGGCGCGACACGATAACTGCTGAATCAGTGATGCAGTGAGTTCACAGTTTTAACGTACAAGTTTGCATTCATTTAAGATCTGAGGTAAAATATCTATTGTTGCTTTCACTATGGCTATAAAGATAACGCAAAATATTCAAACTCACATTAGACACTTTTAACATTGAATAAAGCACATAATCATTACCTGAGATTATCACTGTAATATTTTGTATGTTGTTCCTGCCGCGATGTCGCAGAAAATAAGAACCGTTCCTAAAATAGAATCCCATGTCACTTATTTTCACGTGTCGCCGTCATGGGTGGTTAGTACTAAAACGACATACTTTTTATCGCGTCGTGTCTGGTTGGGACACAAGGCGTTACAGTTTTAACTGCTCTGGCTGGGCCACTCAAGGATGTTCACACAGTTGTCTATAAGCCACTCTTGCTGTGTGCTTAGGGTCATTGTCCTGTTGGAAGGTGAACCTTCTGCCCAGTCTGAGATTCTGAATGCTCTGGACTGGGTTTTCGTTAAGGCTATCTCTCTATATTTTACTGCACTGAGCGTTTCTTCTACTCTTAATGAGTCCCTCAGTCCCTGCTGCTGAAAAACAGCCCCTCAGCATGAGGCTGCTACCAGCACACTTTACTTTTGGGATGGTACTCTGCAGGTGATAAGCGGAGCTGGTTTCCTTCAAACATGGTGCTTAGAATCGAGGTTCATCAGAGCAGAGAATCTTGTTTCTCAGAGTCTGAGGGTCCTTCATGTGCTTTTTTTGTAAATTCCAAGTGTGTTTTCATGTGTCTTAACTGAAGAGAGGATTGAGTTTGGCCACCCCACCATAAAGACTGGATTGGTGGAGTGTTGCGGCGATGTTTGTCCTTCTGTAGATTTCTCCTATCTCCACATATGATCATAGAGCTCAACTAGAGTGACCATCAGGTTCTTGGTCATCATGCTAACCAAAGCCCTTCTCCATCAATTGCTCAGTTTGGTCAGGTGGCCAGCTTTAGGAAGAGTCCTGGTTGTATCAAACTTCTTCCATTAAGGGTAACGGAGACTACATGCTTGTTACCCTTCAATGAAGCAGATTTTTTTTTTCACAGATGTGTGGCTTGACGCAAACCTGTTTCTGAGCTCTACAGGCAGTTATTTTGACCTCGGGGCTTGGTTTTTGCTCTGATATGCATTATCAGCTGTTAGACCTTTTTATTAAGATGTGTGTGCCTTTCCAAATCATACCATTCAATTGAATTTGCCACAGGTTAACTTCACTCAAAGTGTAGTAACATCTACAAGCAATTTGAATGCTCCTGAGCTAAATTTCAACTGTCTCAGATAAGGGTATGAATACTTATGCAATGGAATCATTTTAGTTTTTTTATTTTTAATAGATTTGCAAAGATGTTAAAAACCTGCTTTTTTGCTTGACAATTATGGTGTATGGATTGTTGTGGGAAAAAACTAATTTAAAGCAGTTTAACATAAGGCAGCAATAAAACAAAATGTGAAAATAATGAAGGGATATGAATGCATTCGCAAGGAACTGTGTATATATAGGTCAGTGGCCCTTGGCTTGTTATTGTTGGCAGAATTCGGCCCTCAGCGAAAACTAATTGAGGAACCCTGGTTTACACAAATTCAAACAAGCAATGTCAAATCTGCCCCATGCTTCACGTTTTATAAGAATCCTGGCCTGAAGACATCTAAAGGCCAATATTCAGTTATAATCATAGTGCCACCTGTTGGCAACAGGATATGTCATGTTTTACACCAACTCAGTCATACCATGTTCGATCTGCACCAAACTTCACATGTTTGATAGAAGTCCTGGGGGGTATTCCAAAAAGCAGGTTATGTGACATACCCGGGTATGTTTGAGGATAAGCGAGTGGATAACCTCTGCTTTCGGTTCCAAAATCGGAGTTTACTTTCAGGGTATGTCAGTAACCATAGTAACTTGCTCTCTGAAGATAACCTGCTCCGGAGCAGGTTATGTTCCAGGCTTAGTTCACTTTCCAGCGCACGTGTGATCTACTGACGACCCTTCAGACATCTACATGCCAATATTCAGTTATAGTCATAGCGCCACCAGCTGGCAACAAGAAGATTGGCACATAAATAAATTTTTACATATTCCTCTTATATTTACTACTTTAAATGCATATTGCCCACCGTTCACAATTTTTCTAAGGTGGAGGTAACTGGGTGCAAGGGCTATTTCAACGCTGCTTGCAACTTTAGTTACTCATGATATACAACCTCATGTCATTCCAAACAATGACTGACTTTCATCTGTGGAACACAAGAGGATATTTTGAAGAACTACCCCTTTAAAAATAATTGATATTGGGTATTAATATAATTAAATATTAATTTAAAACTACAACTTAATAGATCCTGTGCTGCTATTCATGGCTTTTGCCAATGTTATTAGTTTTCCTTTTCTGCTTGTTTTAAAGGTGCTGTTTAGAATAATTTTTAAGCAGTAACATTATGCCATGTTTTCTTTTTTGTTTATCTCTCTCTGCAGATACTGAGCCCAAAAAACCTGTGGTCCCACCCAAAGATAGAGGAACTGGTATGTTTCTGCCAGCATCTGTTTTTATGGTCTTGTGATGGTGTCTATTTTTAATAACGCATGACCTCAAGGTGTTGACATATTTCAGATTTACATATGAAGTCAGAATGTAATATATCAAAGAACTTGTCCCTGTAAAAAAAAAAAAGCAGTCAATGTTTTGTGTACACCACAGCCCAGCACATGGTCGCTTGAGATAGCCGCAGTTGTATTATATTAAGTCAAATAGATGCTCTCTTTATATTTAATATGAAACCGTAAACAGTAATAATTTTTAGTAATAATTATGTTTAGCTTGAAACGCATACAATTTATGTTGGTGATGATACTGGTGTTGTCTCCTCATCTGTCTACTCTTTATTTATAATGCAGAGGCTGACTAACCATTTGAGATGCTTGATCTCCAATGGAAAGCATATTTAAATTGTGAATTGCTGTCTATTCTGTGCATTCTCTGTTCTCTATATATAGTGCAGTATGTTGAATTTACTAAATAGGAATTAATAAATATAAGAACAAGTGACTTATTTTAGACAAGAACATGGCACTTCAGATTTTAGAGAGCATTTGATTGGTCAGAAATTCTGACGAGAATTTGAAGTGCACCATTATATTTGATTGGTATCAAGAAAATATAAATGTAAAATTTGAGTGTGTATCCTCATAATAGCAAGTTTAGGAGCACACTAGCTTACAGATAAACGTTAACACATGCATGCTAAAACCCACAAACAAAACATGATTTTATGGTCTTTATTGACAAAAATCATGGATTATGTCCACATTTTGTCAGTTAAGGGGTTAATTTGAAAATTACTGTCACTCCACATTTTTAAAAATAGGCATGCAGGTGCATTATCCAAACTTAAATTGTTGTAATTTATGAACACTTTGGAATACAGACATAAGGTTGTTCTCTTTTTAAAGAGGAAAATCAGCAGATTGTCGCAAAAGTGGAATTAAGTATCAAAAAGTTATAGTAGTTTAAATTTATTGTAAAGAAAAGGCACTATATTAATTGTATTTGATATATAATAAATATTTTACATATCAGGTTTTACTAGGCTATAAAATTATAGCATTATGTCTAAATAAGTTATGTTCCAAATTTAATGTTGATATGAAAAAAATGTAGGTTCCTGTGAGATTTTATTTAGGGCGTTATACCACAAACAGCCACCGGGTGCCATCCAAGCTCCATTTAATTTATCTAGTCACAAATGTCTAGATTTCTGTCAATATTACTTCTATCTCAAAATACAGCATGAGGCTGCTACCAGCACACTTTACTTTTGGGATGGTACTCTGCAGGTGATAAGCGGAGCTGGTTTCCTTCAAACATGGTGCTTAGAATATCAGAGCATCAGAGCAGAGAATCTTGTTTCTCAGAGTCTGAGGGTCCTTCATGTGCTTTTTTTGTAAATTCCAAGTGTGTGTCTTAACGTCTTAACTGAAGAGAGGATTGAGTTTGGCCACCCCACCATAAAGACTGGATTGGTGGAGTGTTGCGGCGATGTTTGTCCTTCTGTAGATTTCTCCTATCTCCACATATGATCATAGAGCTCAACTAGAGTGACCATCAGGTTCTTGGTCATCATGCTAACCAAAGCCCTTCTCCATCAATTGCTCAGTTTGGTCAGGTGGCCAGCTTTAGGAAGAGTCCTGGTTGTATCAAACTTCTTCCATTAAGGGTAACGGAGACTACATGCTTGTTACCCTTCAATGAAGCAGATTTTTTTTTTCACAGATGTGTGGCTTGACGCAAACCTGTTTCTGAGCTCTACAGGCAGTTATTTTGACCTCGGGGCTTGGTTTTTGCTCTGATATGCATTATCAGCTGTTAGACCTTTTTATTAAGATGTGTGTGCCTTTCCAAATCATACCATTCAATTGAATTTGCCACAGGTTAACTTCACTCAAAGTGTAGTAACATCTACAAGCAATTTGAATGCTCCTGAGCTAAATTTCAACTGTCTCAGATAAGGGTATGAATACTTATGCAATGGAATCATTTTAGTTTTTTTATTTTTAATAGATTTGCAAAGATGTTAAAAACCTGCTTTTTTGCTTGACAATTATGGTGTATGGATTGTTGTGGGAAAAAACTAATTTAAAGCAGTTTAACATAAGGCAGCAATAAAACAAAATGTGAAAATAATGAAGGGATATGAATGCATTCACAAGGAACTGTGTATATATAGGTCAGTGGCCCTTGGCTTGTTATTGTTGGCAGAATTCGGCCCTCAGCGAAAACTAATTGAGGAACCCTGGTTTACACAAATTCAAACAAGCAATGTCAAATCTGCCCCATGCTTCACGTTTTATAAGAATCCTGGCCTGAAGACATCTAAAGGCCAATATTCAGTTATAATCATAGTGCCACCTGTTGGCAACAGGATATGTCATGTTTTACACCAACTCAGTCATACCATGTTCGATCTGCACCAAACTTCACATGTTTGATAGAAGTCCTGGGGGGTATTCCAAAAAGCAGGTTATGTGACATACCCGGGTATGTTTGAGGATAAGCGAGTGGATAACCTCTGCTTTCGGTTCCAAAATCGGAGTTTACTTTCAGGGTATGTCAGTAACCATAGTAACTTGCTCTCTGAAGATAACCTGCTCCGGAGCAGGTTGTGTTCCAGGCTTAGTTCACTTTCCAGCGCACGTGTGATCTACTGACGACCCTTCAGACATCTACATGCCAATATTCAGTTATAGTCATAGCGCCACCAGCTGGCAACAAGAAGATTGGCACATAAATAAATTTTTACATATTCCTCTTATATTTACTACTTTAAATGCATATTGCCCACCGTTCACAATTTTTCTAAGGTGGAGGTAACTGGGTGCAAGGGCTATTTCAACGCTGCTTGCAACTTTAGTTACTCATGATATACAACCTCATGTCATTCCAAACAATGACTGACTTTCATCTGTGGAACACAAGAGGATATTTTGAAGAACTACCCCTTTAAAAATAATTGATATTGGGTATTAATATAATTAAATATTAATTTAAAACTACAACTTAATAGATCCTGTGCTGCTATTCATGGCTTTTGCCAATGTTATTAGTTTTCCTTTTCTGCTTGTTTTAAAGGTGCTGTTTAGAATAATTTTTAAGCAGTAACATTATGCCATGTTTTCTTTTTTGTTTATCTCTCTCTGCAGATACTGAGCCCAAAAAACCTGTGGTCCCACCCAAAGATAGAGGAACTGGTATGTTTCTGCCAGCATCTGTTTTTATGGTCTTGTGATGGTGTCTATTTTTAATAACGCATGACCTCAAGGTGTTGACATATTTCAGATTTACATATGAAGTCAGAATGTAATATATCAAAGAACTTGTCCCTGTAAAAAAAAAAAAGCAGTCAATGTTTTGTGTACACCACAGCCCAGCACATGGTCGCTTGAGATAGCCGCAGTTGTATTATATTAAGTCAAATAGATGCTCTCTTTATATTTAATATGAAACCGTAAACAGTAATAATTTTTAGTAATAATTATGTTTAGCTTGAAACGCATACAATTTATGTTGGTGATGATACTGGTGTTGTCTCCTCATCTGTCTACTCTTTATTTATAATGCAGAGGCTGACTAACCATTTGAGATGCTTGATCTCCAATGGAAAGCATATTTAAATTGTGAATTGCTGTCTATTCTGTGCATTCTCTGTTCTCTATATATAGTGCAGTATGTTGAATTTACTAAATAGGAATTAATAAATATAAGAACAAGTGACTTATTTTAGACAAGAACATGGCACTTCAGATTTTAGAGAGCATTTGATTGGTCAGAAATTCTGACGAGAATTTGAAGTGCACCATTATATTTGATTGGTATCAAGAAAATATAAATGTAAAATTTGAGTGTGTATCCTCATAATAGCAAGTTTAGGAGCACACTAGCTTACAGATAAACGTTAACACATGCATGCTAAAACCCACAAACAAAACATGATTTTATGGTCTTTATTGACAAAAATCATGGATTATGTCCACATTTTGTCAGTTAAGGGGTTAATTTGAAAATTACTGTCACTCCACATTTTTAAAAATAGGCATGCAGGTGCATTATCCAAACTTAAATTGTTGTAATTTATGAACACTTTGGAATACAGACATAAGGTTGTTCTCTTTTTAAAGAGGAAAATCAGCAGATTGTCGCAAAAGTGGAATTAAGTATCAAAAAGTTATAGTAGTTTAAATTTATTGTAAAGAAAAGGCACTATATTAATTGTATTTGATATATAATAAATATTTTACATATCAGGTTTTACTAGGCTATAAAATTATAGCATTATGTCTAAATAAGTTATGTTCCAAATTTAATGTTGATATGAAAAAAATGTAGGTTCCTGTGAGATTTTATTTAGGGCGTTATACCACAAACAGCCACCGGGTGCCATCCAAGCTCCATTTAATTTATCTAGTCACAAATGTCTAGATTTCTGTCAATATTACTTCTATCTCAAAATATAACCACCACATATGGAATCCTGAGACTCAGACCTTTCCAATTATATGTTTTTTGTCAAGATTAAAAAAAGTTTTGATTGTATAAGACCGTAATTTATTTTGTAATTTATTTTGTAATATGACTCTGCCCACTAAAGGGGAGGAGACTGCCAAAATATTTTAAAGTACCATTTCCATGGTAACGCAAAATGTCTGATTTCAAAATGGTTTTCACAGGATGAATCTTGGGCTTCTAAGCTTTCAAATGATATATGATTTATGATGATTACTAAAAGATTTGATAGAGAAAAAAGACAACAACAAAAAAAAAGAGCACCAAGCGCCAAACAGGTGGGACGGTGACAGCTATTAAGTGAAATCCATCAGGGACAAATGTGTAAGTTAAAAATAGTGTATTGTTTACACTTTAAAAAGTCTTAGGGACTGAAAGATTACTGAAGTTGAAGAATGGTCACTGAACCCAATCCGATTCTTCTGTGTATTACACATTAAGGTGGTGGAACTTTTGATGACAAAGACCTTTTTGATGTGAAGGAAGGGGGTGAATACCAGCCCGATGGAGGCCAAAGTGGAGGTTTGCATCATTATTTTTCTTAGTTTTGGGTTTTCTCAGGTTTTTATGACTCAAATATAGCTAAGTTTCACGTACAACCCATTTGCAAGCCCTTAATGCAATCACAATTACCTAAAAAAAAAAAAGAAAGCATTTGTTATTTAATGTGCTTTTCTATGACGTACTTCAGTGCTGTGAATGAATCTAACTGTGGTTGTTGGTTTTGGTTTAAGGGCGAGGAGCAGACATTCCTGATAATGATCAAAATGGTATTTATTTCCTTACTTATGGCAAATACTTGCCATTTGGTTCATAACTTTAAATTTTTACTTATTCTTGAATAGTAAAAGATTTCTTTGTTTTTCCTGTTGTTTATTTGTTTGTTTCTCATTAGGTGGTGCCTCTGAACAACCTCAAGGTAAATTATATTCATTAATTATATTCAAATTGTACTTTAAGTTAAGTACAGTAAGTTTTTCACTCCATGTGTCTGTAATTGTTTTGGAAAAACTGTCAGCCACATAGTGTGGATTGTTGTGGAGTCCACTGAAATATAAAGTTCACAGACATGAATGAGTGCCTCTGGGAGGTGTCTTTGCTTTAGCTCTCTCTGACTCTGTTCCTCACCTCACTTCTTGCTGTTTGTCCTTTTTGAAGCTTGGTTTACTTGCCAGTGTTGTCTTTCCTAGTGGAGTTAGCCTGTCATCTGTTTCAGATATAGATAGATAGATATATATATATATATATTTTTTATTTATTTTTTTTAATCAAGAATATGACAGTTCATGAGTCTGACCACAAAAAAGCTAAAACATTTTAGCCTAAATACTGTGTGAGGCCATGGAAACTGCACTAGTCTGATGACTGACTGACTCTCACAGTTCTTACATAAGGACATGACGGTTCAACTGACACTAAACTTATTGGTGGGTAGGAAATGTTGAGGTTTTCCACTAGCAGATGTTTTATTCTGTGTTGAAGTAGTAAATAGTTGGTGAATAGTCCTATTCTGTTCTTTTAGTATGTCTGAAGTAGGGATGTAACGATTAACCGCGAGCCGGTTGAAAATAGATTCAAATATGTGAGGATTCAAATCGGTTGAGATGCTAAACAAATCACGATTCATTTAGGTGTAGGAGTTTATATGAATGCATGTCTGAGGGGAACTTACTGTCTTTAGAAAAGTTTAGATGGTATTTTTTCTTTTCATCTTGCCTCTGTATAAAGCATATTAAAGTTCATAAGGTCAGTGCTGCTTTGTTTACAGTGGAAACCAAGAAAACGCTTTAAGCGCCCCCTGCTGGCAGAGACTGAAGCTGCGTCTCATTCAGCTCCGCTGTTTCATGCAGATATTTGTATTTATAGTTTCACAAAACTGAAGTCAAACCATTCTGTTTTTGCTTCAAATTTCGAAACTATACAATCTAATTTAGTTTAAAAACTGCTCCTGTTGCATGTATGCAGCATCTTTGTTTGGATCATGATTAAAATGCAGGGGTTGCCTCTAATTTTAAAAGGAAAGAGCAGAGACAAAGCCTTATTTTGTTTATATGAAGATATTTATTTTATTTGTGTTATTTATTTGATTTGGGGCTTGTTTTAAAATTTCAATTTAGTTTTGTTATTTACATTTACATAATATTTCAATTTTGTAATTTAGCAGACGCTTTTGTCCCAAGCGATTTACAAATGAGGACAGTAGAAGCAATCAAAACCTACAAAACAGCAATAATATGCAAGTGCTATATGATTATATATCAATTTCACAAAGAAATGTGCAGCATTTTGTCCAAGCAATAATAAAAAGACACATTTAATTTATAATTTGTCTTCAATCTCATTTTGTTAAAAAAATTATAATAATCGTGAATCGAATCGAATCGTGAGTTGAGTGAATCGTTACATCCCTAATCTGAAGACTGATTGTTTTGACTGTTCATTCTGCCAGTGGCTGTGCCCTAAATCTCTGCTTCGATTGCCTGTCGTTGCAGATTTAAACCAGCAGTGGCTCCAGATTATCAAGATGCTAGTCGATAATATACCAGAAGGCCTCAGTGTTTGGGTTTCCCAGTTTAATCAAGTAGTAGAGCCCCTGCTAGAGCAGTTATGGGAACTTCTGAATGTAACCGAGGAAAAGGCAGAGCTCTAAATGTCCTGGATAGTAACCTTCTTTGCTTGTATCAGGTTTTTAAAAGGTTTTAAACATTGTTTACATGTTTTGAATGTTGTACTTGGTTGTAAGGCTGGGACTTGTTTATGGTCTTTTGAGGATGAGATGCATGTTTGGTAATGATAAAGTGAATAGTGATCGTACTGATTTAGAAATTTGGTAGTGAGGCATTAATCTCATTGTATTACTGACTGGTTTTAGTTTCTTTGTGTGTTGGTAAAGATTATTATAACTCAACACCTACTGTGAAAATGTTTGGGGTTGGTAAGGTTTTTAAAAGCTTTTGGAAAGAAATTACAACTTTTTAATTGATAAAATTACAGTGACTGATTAGTGTTGTTAAAATGATTTCTATTTCAAATACATGCTGTTCTTTTGAACTTTTTATTGATCAACGAATACGAAGAAAAATGGATTCCACAAAAATATTGATAATAAGAAATGTCTTTTGAGCTTCAAATCAGTATATTACAATGATTTCTGAAGGGTCAGTGGCACTGAAAACTACAGTAATGTCTGCTGAAAATCCAGATTAGCTATCAGAGGATAAAAATACATATTAACCCTTAAATGCATACCTCGGGTCTTTAGCGACCCGGAACATCATTCTCTACCCTCTCCCTCCTTCATTTTTTTTAAGGTTAGACGTCAACTTTCTTAGTATTCCTCAATCTATTAATTATAAACAATATAACAAGAAAAAAATAGTAAAATATAAAAGAATGCCAGTTTTCTGATTAATTTCTTGTAAAAAGTGTAAAGGGTCGCTAGAGACCCGAGGTATGTAAATGTTTAAGTATTTTTTCCTGCGCAACTATATTTACATATCTGATGACTCAATATGTGCAATGCATCTTTTTTCGTCAAGGTGTCACTGTTTGATACACAATGATGACGTGACGTTTCACTCATAATTACGGCAGGCATAAAACAAAAGAATATCATCAGCAAAAATTTAACTGGTTTGAATGACTTTACTGCAGAGCAATTGTTAAACGCAATGAAATATAAATGTCTCTGTCATTTGATCCTAGATGTGGTGAATAAGCTGCCAGTGATAAAAATATTGAATATGAAGACATTGAAAACGATAGTTTTGAGAATATGCCTGAGATCGTGAATATGAGGCAGATGCTGAATATACTGTGGAAGTGCGCTCTGACGATGAAAGCAATGGTAAAATCATCTGCTCAAATTTAACCCTTTTACGTTTCAAAAGGTAACGAAATATGCTTTATTTTATTCTTCTGTAATTGTTCTTAAAGGGGTCATATGATGCTTTTTTTAAAGATCATTATTTGGTGTAACAGAATATGTTGACATGCTGTAATGTTCAAAAAACAAATTTTTCAAATACTGTACATTATTGTAGATCCTCTATGCCCCACCTCTCTCAAACGCTTCGTTTTCAACAAAGTCCCCTCCTTTGACAAGCGCAGTCTGCTCTAATTGGCCAACTGACCCAGTGTATTGTGATTGGCCAAACACCGCAAGCACGCGTCGGAAATGTAACGCCCCTTACCATAATCGGCGAGCTTCATCTTTCAAAATAAATGTAAAGACCGTAAATAATGTCATTAGTTTTACCATCAGTTCAAGCCCGAAAGGGGAACAGACACAGTAATGATGCAGTACACAAGCCGCGGTTAAGACAGCTGACTACACTGTGATGTGACTCTCTCTCTCTCACTCACTCACTCACTCACACAACTCCGCATTTGAACAGTCATCAGCAAATACTTAAACTAGTAACAAAACATACTTACAGTGGCTGATTCAGAAGCGCCAGATTGTCGTAGCAAAGTCAGAATGACCTCCTCTCCTAGGTTCACGAAACGGTCGTCCATAAAATGCATTGCTGTTCTGTTG